TACTGTACAGTTATCAATAGATTACTTTACTATAAAATATTTAACACAAAATAGTGTAAAATTATCAACAAATTGTTTCCCATACAATAGTGTAACTTCCGAATTTTAACATCAAATTCTATTTACAATAGTGTACAATTATCAACAAATTACCTAAAATAAATTACTTTAATATAAAGTACTTTAATATAAAATAGTGTACAATTATCAACAAATTGCTTCCAATAAAATAGTGTACAATTATCAACAAATTGCTTCCAATAAAATAGTGTAACTTTAGAATTTTAACCACAAATTTAACATCAAATTCTATTAAAAATCCAATCGTGTTATTCTGAACTTTTTATTAAAACCACAAATTTAACATCAAATTCTATTAAAAACCATCGTGTTATTCTAAACTTTTTTATTAAAAACACGCACCAACATTTCAGATCAAGTAAGTAAACTAACTAGAAATTCCATAAACAATAAACAATTTCTATTCTCTACAACAGTAATATGGATCCTAACTCAGAGCAACAGACCAGAGATCACCAGCACCTCTCCGCATCATTGCAAACAGGTTTGTGTATAAGGTTACTGTACATTCTTTCAATTTCTATTTCTTATATTAAAACAAATAAATTAAAATTTCACCCCCAGGTGTCTCCAGTCTTGAACGTCAACCTCAATCAGATGTCACCACACCCGCCGAGCCAGAAACACACACACGCAGTAAGACCTCCGCAGGTATAACTCAACATAGCATGAATACAAATCTACAAATAAATTTATAATATAAGCAATACACCCACAGTATATTGTACCATTAAAATTATTCTTGAAGTCACAAATTACAACACTTTTTGTCAGAAAATTCCTAATAATTGTATATGAAATCATAAGTCAACACTTTTATCAGAAAGTTCTTAATAAATATGCCTAAAAAATCTTAATAAATATGTCTAAAATTTCCCAGTGCATAATCCATTATAAATGCAAACCAAAATGGTATTTATATTGCATATATTTATACATTTAGATCAAAAATATGTCCTACTAAAAATCTTATAAACAAAATTTTATAAACAAAAATTGTTATATTCTCATAACCCTATTTTTAAGATTATTATTTCTAATATTGTTTTACAAAAACATATTGTTTATAAAAACTTATAATACTCTACATAAAAATTTTTATATATATGATTAAATTAATATTTTCTTAAAAATATTTATAATATATCAAAATTATTGCATTCTCTTAAAAACTTATATATATGATTAAATTAATATTCTCTTAAAATGTTTATAATATATCAAAATTATTATATTCTCTTAAAAAATTATCACAGTACTTAAATCATTACAATTGCAATCCAATAATGATATTCATACTGCATTATCAAAATTTATTCTAAAACTTTTACCTATATTGTCTTATCAACAATTGTTTATATATTCAAAAATTTATTAATAACAAGTTTTATTTTTATATTTAAAATCCATTAAAACAAATTATATATATACTTCAACATATTACAATTATAGTATACCAATTACTACCTATATTTTGTTATAAAATTATATTCTCATAAAAAATTATCACGGTACATAAATCATTACAAATTCAAACCCATAATGATATTTATACTGCATTATCAAAATTTATTCTAAAAACTTTTACCTATATTGTCTTATCAACAATTGTTTATATATTCAAAAATCTATTAATAACAAGTCTTGTTTTTATATTCAAAAATCCATTAAAACGAATTCTATATATATACTCTTCAACCTCTATTTTTTGTTAAAAATTTTGTTTATATATTCGAAAGTCTGTCAATAACAAATTTCGTTTTTATATACAAAATCTATTAAAAAAAACTATTATAAACTTTAACATATAATAATTCAACCTATATTTTATTTATTCGAAAGTCTGTCAATAACCAATTTCTTTTTTATATACAAAATCTATTAAAAATGTATTATAAACTTTACCTATATTATTACAAAAACTTTAACTTATATGGTCTTATCAGAACCAAAAATTTATATTTTATACTATCACCTATATCACTTCAAAACCTACATTTATTCCAAAACTTCAATCTATATTGTCTTAACAAAGATTTTATATTTCATACCTTTACCTTTATTATCTTCTGAAAACATAAATTTATTTCAAAATTTTATCCTATATTGTTTTGTCAAAAATGTTTATTTTTATATTTATATTTATACATTTATATTTATTTATATTTATATTTTATACCTTAATATTTATTAAAATTTAATAATCCAACGCTTAATATTACTCCAGAAATATTTAATAATTCTAAGCTTAATATTACCCACAAAAACCATTTCAAAGAAACCTTACTTAACAGTCAGCGTTACAATCCTTTAAAACATGTGTACAACTAACATGTTTTACATACAAAACTTGTTGCAATATCTACCATTCTATTTTTTATATGCATAATAAATCATGTTGCAATATCTACTATTCTGTTTTTATATACACATTAAATACCATTCATACACATAACAATCATCCATCTCTGAACAAGAAAGTTGACTTGAGTACAATATATAGTTGCATCACCACAAGTTCAAGACACAATCCAGCAATCTAAATACTTCTTATATAACCTATATTATCTATAAGCTATTATTATATATCTAAATTTCTAACATATCTTACATACAAAATGTGGGACATTATCTATATATATATAATATTTCTCATATCACAGCACACAGTAACACTTCTAATACGACAAGTATGGATGCTGCGTTAGCGGAACTAAATGACCCACGAGAGTGTACGTGGTTATCGGCATATACCGATGGGGTTGAGTACGCACTAGGTACGCGTAATATACTACCTACCGCACATCCTACAGTCCCTTTACCATCCATTATCATTCCCGCAACAAATCTAGCACCTTATCTAGCTCATACTTCTGAGCTATCCCTTCCTCAGATTCTGACAACTATCCCGCAAAAATATATCCCGGATATATTATATCCTCATCCCATCCCTGGTGGATTCATGAATTTGACCAGTTTGCAAATTCCTAAGGAGGTAGAAATCCTCTTGAGCTTCGGTCCGAAATACTGTCCTGTATCTCCTCCCACTTTAACCAATTACCTCTCCTACATCTACAATTACCATGAAGCACACCTAGATGCCTGTCTCGATCTTAACATACTATGCCGGAACGAGATGGATGAGAACATATACAAATTCTTAGAAGTAATGGTCAATCATAGGCAACCCACTCACCATCATAAAATGTTGCAACATCTTTACCAGACAACTTACAACTTCCTTCACTTACATCGCAACGTAGTAACGGTTCAGGCAGACAAGAGTAAATCAACAATTCTTATGTATAGAGACGACTACATAACTAAGGTGGACGACTGGTTAAAAAATTATACAAAAGAGGGCTATTGCCTCCAACTAACCGAGGATATTGGTATTCTGGTGCGTAAGTGCGGCGCTCAGTACCGGTTGCTTTATCGCGCATTGTGCAGGATTTATAAAGGGAATGGAAGACCCTATCCTCACAAAATCCATCAAGTTATACAGGAGTATAATACAAAAAATCCATCTCTACCTTATCTATACGGAACTCTTAAGATTCACAAACCAGGTCAACCTATACGCCCTATATGTAGCCCTATACATTGGTACACGTATCCTATACATAAGTTATGTCAACATATCTTGGAGTCTGCACAATCAGTGGCACAAAAAAGAATAAAAAGGAATAAAAAAGCAACAGTTCGAAGCAACTGGTAGTAGGAATGAATGATTCACTTTAATGGTAATTTATTTAATGGTTTTTGTTGTTGTTTAATGGTCTAATATGCAACTTATATGCAATCTTCATTCCATATTCGCATATACAAGTGTATATGTATGTGTGTACAGTTGTGTATACACATTTTTTTTCTTAGCACTTAGAATGTCGAACAATTGTCAAAATGTGCTGCCATCGGCGACGCAATAAGTGGAAGTCGCTTTGCTTTACGAAGAATTAAAATTCCAATAAATTTTGGAGTTGCTTTTTGCACAAATGCATGTGAAAATAATTAAAAACATAATTTAATTTTAAAGTTTTAATACATCTTTAGAATGCAATGCGGAAGAGGTGCGGAATATAGAGGAGGTGGAGGAGAACGCGGAAGAAGTTCTGAAAATAGAGGAGGAGACAGAGGTAGACGTGGCGGCGATAATGGTGGTGGTGGCGGCGGCGGCTATCGTGGCAACTGCGATGATGGTGATGGTGGTGGCATCCGTGGCTGGCAACCTCGCGGCGGCGGTAGTGGCCAACGTGGTGAACAACGCAGTGGTGCAGAGCGTAGACCTGGCATGTATCGTGGTCGCGGTGATGGACTTGGCAGTTATCCTGCCTCTGAATCATCTGTAAGTAAGAACAAATTTAAGATTTAAAGAGACTTGATTTAATTAATTTTTATTCATTTGATATTAGAGTTTTGGTAGTTTGCCGTCAACAGCAAGTTGTGGATCTTCTCATCAGTCCGATGTGTCCATTTCCAGTGTTTTCATGAGTATGCCATAAAATATATTATTTAACCAGACTTATGTTGACGTAAATATTTTCCTTTAGTTCTCCCAGTGGTTCTCCCAGTTCAAACGTTCACCAAAGTCATGATAACACTGAGGCAGCAACTATTGGTATGCAGATTATGACAATAATTATGATTGTTCTTTCTATGATATTTTATATTGTTTCTTTATGTTGTTATATCCATATCTATAGCTGCAATTGACCAAATACGTGGAATGCGGTTAAAACAATTCTTAACTGACGTTATACAACATACTCGACCATTGTCGTGCGTAAATAAGCAAGGTGCAGTTGGTCGTCCAGTTATGGTTCAGACGAATTATTTTCGTCTATTAAGAACACCGAAATCGGTTATACATCAGTAACGTGTTGATTTTGCACCAGAAGTCGATTTGTTACATGTACGTCGTGGAATGATAGGACAGTATGAAGATTTGTTTGGAGGTAACGTTTTTGATGGTACTTTGCTATTTTCTACACAAAATCTGAAAAGTATAATGGTGAATGATGTCCATAAGATACTAACAAAGGATCGTGCAGGAAATACAGTACAAGTTAAAATTAAACATGTTCGCATAGTAGAATTAACAGATATGCAACAGATGCATGTACTCAACTTGATTTTACGTCGATCTATGGAAGGCTGGAAACTACAACAATTGAATCGAAATTTCTTTGATCCAGTAGCTAAAGTAAGTTTAGTGTATGGTAATTGTTTAATGAAGTTTATTTTGCTACAAGCTTAACTTAGATATTTCATATAAAGTAATTTTAAAAAATTGTTTTAAGTATTTTTGTTTTATTTTTTTTTTTTCATTCTAGATACGCATTGAGAATTTTCGTTTGGAAATTTGGCCAGGATATATTACCTCTATTCGTCAGCATGAATTGGATATACTGATGTGTGCTGAAATCGCACATAAGGTATTGCGCACTGACACAATTTACAACATTTTGACTCAATTAGTGGAAGTGTCATCAGATTATCAAAACGCATTTGAGGCCGAAGTAATTGGTAAGTAGTACATAGTAATATCTAGAATAAAATCAAATGATTATCAATACTTCAATAATAATCAATAATAATACATTGTTACAGGCATGGTAGTAATCACTGATTATAATAACAAAACATATCGTGTGAGTGATATAGATTTCGGTATGTCGCCCAAATCCACTTTCAAACGAAAGGAAAAAGATGTCACATTCGTAGATTACTACAAACGAGTAAGGAGAAATTCTCTTATAACAAATAACAAATATATAGTCTTAATAGTAACTTTATTTATTCATTTTTAAATTTTTGTTTAAAAAAAAATTTATGAAATACTAGATATCCCGGCAAACGTTGTTTTGCCATATACATTAAGACCGAAAAGTTTTCGGAAATTCTCATTTAAAATTCGCGCGCTGTATATTTTTCGATATTTTAAGTTTATGTAGTTTGGCAGAAATTAAGGACAATTACTATGCCAAAAATGAGCGCGATCTGTCAGACAGTTCGTTTACGGCAGCTGTTGAAGCCAGTTCACCTCAGTAGTGCGTTGCGAAAAAAACAATGGAAAAAAATATTGAACAAAGAGTTTGCATCAAATTTTGTGTTTCGAACGAAATTTCGTTTGCAGAATCGTTGCGAATGCTACAAAAGGCTTATGGGGAATCAGTTTTATCGAAAACTCAAGTTTATGAGTG